GTGTGTCTGTCTCTCTCGGTGTGGTGTCAGGGTGTGGACTGACCCTTGACCCCAGTGTGTCTGTCTCTCTCGGTGTGGTGTCGGGGTGTGGACTGACCCCAGTGTGTCTGTCTCTCTCGGTGTGGTGTCGGGGTGTGGACAGATTTATGGGTAGGTGTCACATGGCCTCATCAGTGTGCTCATTCCCAGGTGCACTGCCAGCACCGCGACCGTGTTCTGGCTGTGTCTGTGTGAGTGTGCCTCGTGACTCACGCCTGCTGGCTGCTGAGGTATCTCAGTGTGGGGGTCTCCATGCCGTCGGCGGGGATGCTCTGTCCGTAGAAGCGGTGCTCCAGGGACACCAGGAGGGCTCCGTGGTCCTGCGCCATGGACACATGGTGACCTGGGGCAGAGAGGCAGCTGGACAGTGAGGCCGGGGGCTGTGTGTGTGTGAGTGAGTGTGTGTGTGGGCAGGGGGGTCACGGAGACACACACAGACCTCCCTGCACGCTGAACTCGGAGATGGCCGCCTCTCCTCCGATGTACAGGAACACGGGGCCGGTGCGACGCTTCCAGAACTGCTCGTTGACGAAGTACCTCTGAGAGACAGACAGACACGCACACAGACACGGGGCTGCCGCTTAACACCGAGAGCAGTAGGTGTGTGGAACAAGGTCCCCGAAGTCAGGTATTATCAGCAGGGCTGGAGGAGGTTACAAGCTAGGGGGGGCTCCTGTAGCCCACTGGGGAGCTGATCTTGTCCTTGCAGGACTGCAGTACCCAGCACCCGGAGTGTGGGGGCTCCCTGAGGGACATCCCCCCCAGACATGCACTGCCCACTGACCTGTCTGCGCTACGCCGGGCGGACTGCTGTACCTGCAAGTAGGTTCTGTTGTTCTGCCTGTCGAAGTGGTCCAGTGGTTGCTCTAGACGCCCCTCTGTCACCAGGGGGCGCCCTGAGGCGGCCTGTAGCAGGAGGTGCTCTTTGATTGCCTGCTCCTGCCTCTCCAGCACCCTCTGTTTTATCTCATCGAACACTCTTCCTGAGAGGGAGAGAGGGAGAAGCTCACTGACACCAGCCAGCCGCAGGGCAGCACAAATCAAAGTCAAGCCAATCACAGCACAAGCCAAACAGCATGACCTCACCCGCTGGGAAACACACACATACACCAACTGCAATGAAATGAACTGTATCTGAGAAAGGTAAGAGACTGCAAAGAGAAACAGACCCTGAGGAAGTACAGGCTCAGTGACCACAGCCTG